TGTGTGTGAGTGAGTGTGTGTGTGTGTGTGTGTGTGTGTGAGTGAGTGTGTGCGTGTGCGTGCGTGTGTAAGTGAGTGTGTGTGTGTGAGTGAGTATGTGTGTATATGTGTGTGTGTGAGTGTGTGTGTGTGTTTGTATGTCTGTGTGTGTGTGTGTGTGTGTGTGTATGGGTGTTTGTGTGCGTTAGTGAGTTAGTGTGTATGGGTGTGTGCGTGAGTGTGTGTATGGGTGTGTGTGTGTGTGTGTGTGTGGTGGGGATCTGGGCGTGAAATTCTCATTCACAATGTTAGATTCTGTACGAAGGCTCAATTGTCTTTCCATACTCCATGAAATGAAACTCTTTTTTTTTTTAATATAATTTTTCTGAGGTTTGGTTGTTTTTGTTGTTTTTTGTTGTTTTTGTTGTTTTTGTTGTTTTTGTTGTTTTTGTTGTTATTTTAGTTTTCGGTTTTTGGGTTGGGTTTTTGTGCTGTTGTTTTGTTGTTGTTTTTTGGGGGGGAGGGGTAGTTCTTGTTTTTTGTAGTTTTATTTTTCAACAACAACTCTCTGCCTCTCTGTGTCCTGTCCCCATCTCCTGTTACCCCCCCCCCCCCTTCCCCTCTTGCCTTTTACCGCTGCTTCCAGAGTAAGCAGTAGAATGTCTGTGAATGTTAGATCTAGGTCTTGCTACTTGGGTATTGGTACCAGCAAACTTGAACTTGAATCAGGAACTCGCGAGTTTTGTATTGGGTCAAAGATCGTACCTAACAAAATATCTCAATCCTCTCTTTGAGCAAACTAAAAGAGTGTCCTCAAAATTCGGTGGCGCCCTCTTCGAAAAAGTGCAGACTTTGCGATGAGAGTTACCCTTCTTGTGTGAACAGTAAAAGCGACACTAACGAACTGTGCTCTTCCGCTACTCCTGTTCCCCTGGAGAAACGAATGACAGCGTCAGAACATAGCAGCGTCAGAACATAGCAGCGGACTTCCGCGGACGCTGTATAGGCTTAGTAAACTAGCATGTTATCAACGATCTTTGATTGGGACGAACACAATCAAACAATTCATTTTAGGTCAATACATGTATATAAAAGGAACAATATCTACACAACAGGTCAGGGTATTCCCATGTTACATATTCCATGCCTTCACGATAATTGACACCCACACGTCTCAGTCATTCCCACGCAGAACGTTATAACACCGTCCTAATGGTAATAATAATAATAATTGCATTTATATAGCGCATTTCCACGCTCAAGAGCATGCTCTATGCGCTTTACAACTATTATTACCCCAGCAGACCCTCTGAGAACACTCAGAAACATTCTCAGCCTTCGAAGAAGCATACAGTGCAAGCTGCGGATTTCACGCGCTCAAACACTATCAAACTGACAAGATCTTTCCCTGTCTATAGCTGGGTACCCATTCCCACCTGGGTGAAGTGAGGAAAATTC